AATATTTTCAAATATTATAACTAATGGTTTTAAAAAAAAAATTTACAAATATTCAGCACCTTAACCAAGTGTTGTGTAGCCATAACCATACAGTCCATACCCATATAAGAGCAATGAATTTTTTCGGTGAAAATAAAAGAGCAATGAATTTCACAGCGGAAACCCCTTTTTTGTTTTCTTTCTTCCTCTATTCTGAATGGGGTTTGATTGTATAAACTGATACGCTATATAAAAAGTCAGATGTGGTTGGAGCTTGTTGATACTAACTGCTCCTTGAGATTATCCCACTTTAAGGATTCATATTTTGAATTTCAAAGAAGAAAATTTGGGGAAGGAATTTACAAAAGTAATAGACAAAACTAGTTCACAATTTTGGAAGAATGTATATGGCACCAGTCATTGGAATGGACTAGGAAACACCTTCTTTGACAATAAGTTGAACGCATGCAGTACGTAATTCATACATGCTCCAGTGTCTTCCAGGGATTCCTCTATAAAATAATCTTCAAGAGATGATCATAGACGTACACAGAAGAGAGATGAAAATGTTGAGCTTGTATAAGTTGGTAGAGCAACATGAATCCTCTTTATTATTATTCACCATACTGGTCATCTTCTTCATAGCTCTGTTCAGATCTCTCATCTCATGTCTTTCCAGAGAAAGAAGAAGCTTACCTCCTTCTCCACTAAAACTCCCAATTTTTGGAAACCTTCACAACATTGGGTTGTACCCTCATCGCTCACTTTGGTACTTAGCTCGGCACTTCGGGCCACTCATGCTGCTTCATTTTGGCGCTGCGGAGGCACTTATTGTGTCTTCCGCTGATGCTGCCCGAGAGATCATGAAAACCCATGACATCATATTTGCAAACAGGCCAAGATCAAGAGCCTTCCAGAAGCTCCTGTACAATTATAAAGACGTTGGATCAGCACCTTATGGGGAGTACTGGAGGCAAATGAAAAGCATATCTATGCTGCATCTCTGAGTAAAAGAAGAATCCAGTCTTTTCGTGCTGTCAGAGAAGAAGAAACAGCCTTGATGATGGATGAGATTGAAAGGGCTAGTTCTTCTTCTTCATCCATAAATCTAAGTGAAATTTTTGCAGCACTAACCAACAATGTTGTGTGCAGAGTGGCTTTGGGAAGAAAGTATGGAGGGGAAAGTGGAAGAAGGTTTGCAAAGCTGTTGAGTGAGTTTGCGGAGCTCTTGGGTATTTTCAATGTGGGGGACTTTATTCCATGGCTTGCTTGGGTGAGCCATGTTAATGGATTGGAGGCTAGAATGGACAAAGTGGCCAAGGAGTTCGATGATTTTTTAGGAGTAGTCGAGGAGCATATGGCTCAACAAAAGAAAGGGCCAAACACTGACTCCGTTACTGGCAAAGAGCAAAAGGATTTTGTGGATGTTTTGCTTTGGATTCAAAGGGAGAACTTGGCTGGCTTCAAAATTGACAGAGTTAGCATCAAAGCCGTTATTCTGGTGAGATATTGTTCTTGTCTTGAGACTATTGAATTATCCAAATAGGCGATTCTGGCTAGATCGAGTAAGATATCAAATACTTGCTGTGTTTGTTTTGTAGGATGTTTTTGCAGCCGGGACTGACACTACATACACATCCCTAGAATGGGCAATGACAGAAATCTTGAGGCACCCAAATGTTATGAAACAACTGCAAAAGGAGGTGAGAGAGATTGCAGGTAAAAAATCAGACATAAAAGAGAAGGATTTGGAGAAGATGCATTACTTGAAGTCTGTGATCAAAGAGACTCTCCGTTTACACCCTCCAATTCCATTGTTAGTACCCAGAGAATCTGCTCAAGATGTTGAAGTAATGGGCTACAACATTGCAGCTGGAACTCGGGTTATTGTGAATGCTTGGGCAATTGGAAGAGACCCCATGTCATGGAAACAACCAGAAGAATTCATTCCAGAGAGGTTTTTAAACAGCAGCATAGATTTCAAAGGGCATGACTTCCAGTTAATTCCTTTTGGGTCTGGAAGGCGGGGCTGTCCTGGTATTCTCTTTGCAACAACAATCAATGAGGCTTTCTTAGCAAAACTTGTGCACAAGTTTAATTGGACTTTGCCTGGCGGAGCAAAAGAAAAGGATATAGATATGAGTGAATCCATTGGCCTTACCATACGTAGAAAATTTCCTCTTATTGCTATTGCAGATAACTGTTCTTGCTAGTGTCAAGAAAATTAGAAAATACAGCTTTGGAACAATTAAGCACAGTTTGGAATCTTTACATTTTTTTGATGTCATTTTTAGAGTGCTTCTCTTAGAACAGTCATAACCTTAGGAGTGTAATTAGGTGCTAAATGACAGCTATAGAGATATTTATTGTTACTTTGCATCATTTGAAAGAGAGGTTTGCCTAACAACAAACCACGTAGCCCTTCCTCACACCCATCCAGGCCTAAAGCACAACTCTATATGCTTTAAATTGAATAATCAAGTTGAAGTGTTTTCTGTTTTGTTGTTTTTGCTAAAAAGAATAAGAGGTGTAGATTCTACTTTATCTGATTTGAAATGTTGACTTAATAACATATGACTGCCATTCCTTGTACTCATCACAAGCCTTTATTTAGTTTCTCTTTCCCCCTTGCATTTAAGATTTCAGTTGGGAAAATGCATATTGCATAGGCTTGGTTCAGGTAGTGTCTAGTGTCTCGTGTCTAGCAATGATTTCTAGTGGCCGCTAATTTATCAATTGAATTTCAAGATTAAATGCAATTTGAGAATGTTAAAATAATGGAGGCCTACCTAATGCATCGGTTTCTTAAAACATGTCACTACGTAATATTACTGCATATACATAACATTAAACCAGGCAAACGGTCGGGTTCGGGTCGAGTTAATTCAGATAACGGGTTATACGGATTGAGGTTGGGTTATAAATGAGTTGTGAATTGAAAAAGTCTAATTTTAATCCGACCCTAACGGGTTACGGGTTAATCCGCGGTTTGACTTTATTTTTATTTTTTATAATTATTTTGAAACATTATCAAGTAGTTTAATCTATTTTTTTAATAATGAAATTGCTCTTCCAAAAACATCTTTCACTAAGTTATTATGTTTATGTTCTAATATCACATATTTTAGTATTTTTAATTGCATTATCGTTTCATTCACGATACTTAGGCAATTGTTAATACTAGAAAAAAAAATGATACTTGAGTAATTAGATCAAATTTATCATAATTTTTTTTTTCTCTAGAAATGAGAGAATATGAATTAATGGAAGGAGTTACCAATATGAAAATTAATTAAAGATAATAAGTATAATATTTAAAAATAATAATAAAAAATAAAACAAACAGGTCAACCCGTCAACCCATGGGTTGACCCTAATTGACCCGTGACCCATATGAGTTAATAATACAAGTTATCTATACATTGCGGATTGAGATATATAGATCCTAACTCATTTTTTTATGGATTGAATTAAGATCAGATTTGCGATTCCAGTGAATTTTTGTCAGGTCTACGTAACACAAAGCCTCACTGTCAAACTTTGGTCATAAGCCAGTTTAAAACATTTAAGAGAATATGCAAATTTCATCTAGTGATGTTAATGTATATAAAAAAAATATAAGTATTAATTTTGAATTAATTAATTAATTAATTAATTAATTAATTTTTAATTTAAATGAAAATGGTTCATGAAACCTTTATCCATTGAACCCTTCTTCAATCCTCAACGTAAGACTAAGCAGAAAACTAAGCAAACCTCTGTATCTCAAGATAACAGAGCAGTAACATGCCGAGGAGCAATTAGAC